GATCAGTTTGGACTATTTTCTGTTTTTTACTCAACATTTTGGTGGTTTTATGGCTACTTATAGTAGATTTGTGTCGATATCTGGTCATTTTCTGGTTTCTTTGCAGGACTTTAAGGCATTTTTGTGTCTTCTTTTGTCATTTTGTGATCAGTTTGTTTCCATTTCTGGTCTTTTGCTGTACATTCTGTCATCTTATTCTGTCATTTTACTTCTTTTGTGTCTATTTATGATCCTTTGGTATTTTGTGTCTTTTTTTGGTCATTTTGTAATCAGGATATCCCTTATTCTGGTTTTCAGTTTTGTTTTGACATGTCTTGGTCTCGTCATGTCCTGTTTTATTTTGAAAGTTAAGTTTGAAAGTTAGTTTGCTTGCTGTTCCTCCACCTGTTCCTGTTTCTCCTCATGTCCTCCATGTTTTTTACCTCTTCTCTCTTTGTCTGGTTTCTTGCATTTTGGATTTTTCCCCAGTGTTTAGTTCTAGTCATTATCCAGCGATTGCTGCGTTGTAAATAAATGTTATTTCCCTGAGTGCCTGGTCCCTGTCCCCCTCCACATACGGTATACGGTATTGCCGTGACTAATTAAAATAATTACCTAAAGGGACATTGTGTAGTATTCTAAGTATTTTACTAACTAAAATCCTTTTTATTAATCTATAAATGTGTCCTCATTTGGTGTAAAATAACCTCTGCAATGATCTGACTTCTCATTAGCGAGGAATTTCCTATCTGTATATACACAGGACGGGTTAGTCCCGGAGGTTTCCGTGGCGATCCGCCATTTTGAACAACTCTCATGGCATAGAGGTACAAAAAGCACTAGTCTTCCTGTCTAGCTAATCCACAAGGCCTTTTCCTTCAGAGCCAGAGTCACCTGACTGAAAACAGATAGTCACAATCCATCCATCCATTAGCGTTAGCTTAATCCCTTATGGGGTCTATCCCAGTGGTCAATGGGCGAGAGGCGGGGTCACCCTGGACAGTCTATGCTAGTCACTGCCCGGAAAACTAGAAACTTCAGTTTAGTCCATAATGGAGGATCATACTTATGCCCAGTAACAGAAGGAATCAAGTTGTTAGCTAATGCTAGTTACGACACAGGCTAGTAATGGCAAGCTATAAACAAAAAAAAACAAGCTAACATGGCAACGTAATTCGCTATCTTGTTCGAGGAGTAATTACATGCTCGCACTAATGATCTAGTTCCTAGAACATCAACCAGCTCCACCACAGACTAAATTAAAGGGTTAAGGGGTCAGTTATTTTAATTTTATCCAACAATCCAGTTCCTAGAAACTCAACCAGCTCCACCACAGCCAAAATTAAAGGGTTATGGGGTTAATTATTTCGACTTCATCCATCAGTCTAGTTCATAGAACATCAACCAGCTCTACCACAGTCAAAATTAAAGGGTTATGGGGTTAATTAATTTAATTTTATCCATCAATCTAGTTCCTACAAACTCAACCAGCTCCACCACATATAAAATGAAAGGGTTTGGTTTCAGTTATTTAATTTTTTTCCATCAATCTAGTTCCTAAAACATTGACCAGCTCCACCACAGACAAAATTAAAGGGTTATGGGGTTAATTAATTTAATTTTATCCATCAATCTAGTTCCTAGAACATCAACCAGCTCTACCACAGACAAAATTAAAGGGTTATGTGTGAGTTATTTTCATTTTATCCAACAATCCAGTTCCTAGAAACTCAACCAGCTCCACCACAGACAAAATTAAAGGGTTATGGGGTTAATTATTTTGACTTCTTCCATCAGTCTAGTTCATAGAACATCAACCAGCTCTACCACAGTCAAAATTAAAGGGTTATGGGGTTAATTATTTTGACTTCTTCCATCAGTCTAGTTCATAGAACATCAACCAGCCTAAATTAAAGTCTTACAGTCAGTTATTTTCCATTTTATCAATCAACCAGCTCCACCACAGTCAAAATGAAAGGGTTATGGGGTTAATTCATTTAATTGTATCCATCAATCCAGTTCCTAGAAACTCAACCAGCTCCCCAACAGACAAAATTAAAGGGTTTGGTGTCAGTTATTTAAAATGTTTCCATCAATCTAGTTCATAAAACATTGACCAGCTCCCCCACAGACAAAATGAAAGGCACCAGTCACTCACCAAAAGAAAAGGATAACATGTTTAATGCGATTTTATGAACAGACGCTACACAAACAGCCCGACATGGAAGATTTCCACAACTTAAATGCTAAAACAGATGATCGCCCATCATCTTTTGGTCAAAACAAAAGCCATTTATAGCCCAGCAACGCATTCCAACCAAGATGGACGACAGCTTCTGTGATGAGAAACAAAAGTGCTGACGCTAGCTTCCGGGGCCTATAGCCTATCCCCTGATAGTTCCCATTGGTTTTCCTGACGAGGAACAGTCTGTCAGCAATTACTGACGCCGAAGACCCGTAATAAGGCAAAGACCCACACTCTCAAACGCCCACACCAATAACAACACACGACGTAGGCCAGGGCTATAAAGAGCCTTAGCCTACTAGCATCCGGATGGATAGTCAAATCTATACAACACGACTAAGACAAGTGAGCAGAGGAACAGTCTGTCAGCAATTACCGAAGACCCGTAATAAGGCAAAGACCCACACTCTCAAACGCCCACACCAATAACAACACAAGACTTAGGCCCGGGCTATAAGGAGCGCTAGCCTACTAGCATCCGGATGGAAAGCCAGATCTATGCAACACGACTAAGACAAGTGAGCAGAGGAACAGTCTGTCAGCAATTACTGACGCAGAAGACCCGTAATAAGGCAAAGACCCACACTCTCAAACGCCCACACCAATAACAACACAAGACGTAGGCCAGGGCTATAAGGAGCGCTAGCCTATTAGCATCCGGATGGATAGCCAGATCTATGCAACACGACTAAGACAAGTGAGCAGAGGAACAGTCTGTCAGCAATTACTGACGCCGAAGACCCGTAATAAGGCAAAGACCCACACTCTCAAACGCTCACACCAATAACAACACAAGAAGTAGGCTATAAGGAGCCCTAGCTTATTAGCATCCGGATGGATAGCCAGATCTATGCAACACGACTAAGACAAGTGAGCAGAGGAACAGTCTGTCAGCAATTACTGACGCAGAAGACCCATAATAAGGCAAAGACCCACACTCTCAAATGCCCACACCAACAACAACACAAGACTTAGGCCCGGGCTATAAGGAGCGCTAGCCTATTAGCATCCGGATGGATAGCCAGATCTATGCAACACGACTAAGACAAGTGAGCAGAGATTGGTAAAACACGCGGAAACAACCCCTATTTGGGGGAGATTAGCATCTCCCAGCATAACAGGAAGGGACCCAGTGCTCAAAGGACGTGGTCAGAGCTATTAAGCTTGAGATTGGGTGATAAGGGAGATAAGGGCGCCTCGTGGGATGTAATTTATCCCAGGATTGCAGGAAGTACGGGTCATGTGGCGTGGAATCAAAGATTTCCTCCGCCCAGTTTAGCCTGACCTTCATCTCACATATTCGGCCTGTAAAGTCCCTTCAATTTGGGGCTAAAAATAGGGGGGAAGTACACCCAGAGTCATTTTACAGCCGTTTTTGAGTAATTCGGAGAAGATGTCATAGGAAGGTATTTTCTCTGAAAGTGGCTGTAGCATGGAGTTAGTTTTGTGTCCATGTCTGATCATTTTATGGTCTTTTACTGCACATTTTAGTCTTTTTAAGGCCAATAGTTGTAGTTTTGTGTCCATTTTTTAAAATCATTTTATGGTAATTTACTCCACATTTTGGTCTTTTTATGGCTATGAATTGTAGTTTTGTGTCAATTTCTGATCATTTTCTGGTCTTTTACTCCACATTGTTGGTCTTCTTATGACTAATAATATTAGTTTTGTGTCCATTTTTTATCATTTTCTGGTCTTTTACTCCACGTTTTGTTCTTTTTATGGCTAATTATTGTAGTTTTGTGTCCATTTTTGATCATTTTCTGGTCTTTTACTCCACATTTTGGTCTTTTTAGGGCTTATAATTGTAGTTTTGTGTCCATTTCTGATAATTTTCTGGCAACGTTTTGTTCTTTTTATGCCTAATAATTGTAGTTTTGTGTCAATTTCAGATCATTTTCTGGTCTTTCACTCCACATTTAGGTGTTTTTATGGCTAGTAATTGTAGTTTTGTGTCCATTTCTGATCATTTTCTGGTCTTTTACTCCACATTGTTGGTCTTCTTATGGCTAATAATATTAGTTTGTGTCAATTTCTGATCATTTTCTGATCTTTTACTCCACATTTTGTTCTTTTTATGGCTAATAATACTAGTTTTGTGTCCATTTCTGATCATTTTCTGGTATTTCACTACACATTTTAGTCTTTTTATGGCTAATAATAGTAGTTTTGTGTACATTAGTGATCATTTTATGGACTTTATGGCATTTTCTTTTGTAATTTTCTGATCAGTTATTCCCCTTTTCTGGTCTTTTGCTGCAAGTTATTTTATGATTTATTATAGTAGTTTTATGTCAATTTCTGATCCTTTTTCTCCTCATTTGCAATATTTTTTGTGTCTTCTTTTGCCTCAAACGTTTCTGCAGCCTCAGCATGGACTTTTTCTCTTTCTTTCAGACTTGAAGAGATACAATCCAAAGTTGGGTGATACTTTAGATTTATTAAGAAAGAGGAGCACTATTAGTAATACAACCTGAGAAAAGCCCTGCTTTGACTTTTGCTTGACATTTTAATCATTTTATGGCTAACTGTTGTAGTTTTGTGTCTTTTTCTGATCATTTTCTGCTGTTTTGCTGGACTTTTGGCAATTCTTTTGTTATTTTATGATCATTCTGGCCCAATTTCTGTTATATTTGGTGGTTTTATGGCTAATTATAGTTGGTTTGTGTCGATATCTTGTCATTTTCTGGTCTTTTGCTGGCATTTTTGTGTCTACTTTTGTCATTTTGTGATCAGTTTATTCCCTTTGATGATCTTTTGCTACACAATTTGGTAATTTTAAGGCTAATTATTAGCATTTGTCTCCGTTTCTGATCATTTTCTCTCTTTTACAGGACTTTTTGTCTTTTGTGCCTCAAACATTTCTGCAGCCACAGCATGGACTTTGTGTCTTTCTGGATTTCAGACTTGGAGAGGAACAATCCAAACTTCGGTGATACTTGGTCTGTTTTTTTTTAAGAACAGGAGCACTATTAGTTATAAGAGCTGAGAAAAGGAATTGTCCATTGGTTGTCTTGAAATTGCCTCAATAAATCTACTGTTTAAAGTCGAAGAACAGATTAAAAACAAAGATAATGAAATAAAACAGTTTTTAATTCAGTTTTTTGTTGGGAATAAAACAATCCTCTGTCTACAAAAGTGAGCTGCATCATCTTTTTAAGGTGGATTTATTAGTTTTCTTTATAGGAAAAAAATCTATGAGTGTAGAATACATCCTTCACAAGGAAAGAGAGTGTTCAGACTTGTAAATCCCATGAGTTTCCTTCAATGATTTTGAATTCATCATGAATTGCACCAAATAGCATCTATCAAAAGAATTATTGGTGATTCGTGTCGCTAACGTCTGCTATCGACTTGTATCGAACGGCCCTGATGGTACAGGTCGGCTTCCCCAGTGTCCATCCCTCTGGAGCTAAACTGGACGTTAACAGTCTTCAAGCTAATCATAAAAGCACTCGCTGTCAGTTGAATTACGTGGTGATGAAACACAATATTTGATCAGATTGCACAGGAAACACAAAAAATTAAGAACCATCCATCCAATATCGTAATCGCTTATCCCCTAATGGATTCGGGGAGAACTGGAGCCTATCCCAGTAGCCAATGGGGAGAGGCGGGGTCCCCCTGGACGGTTTCCCAGTCCATCACAGGGACACACAGAGACACACAAGGACCAACAACCACACACACTCACACTAAGGGCAGTTTGGAGTCCAACCAACCTAACATGCAGGTTTTTG